CTTAATGGTGACTTTGTTCTTTATTTGTCCTTTTTAACTTTTGTTAATTCAAGCGTCGCTGGTGAGTCTTTTGTAGCCAAAATGCGCGTCTGGCGTACAAAATTGTAAGCTTGGAATCTTTAATGAATTATTATACTTACATAGAAAGATCCGAGTATATGTCGGCGGTTAGTCCATAGGTAATATTTGAGTTTAAAAGTATACTTTGAAGTTTTATTGTATTTTGAAGTTTTAAAGAATCTACGACAAATTATTCTAATAGTTCTTAAAAGAGGTTACAACTGATCCCAAGTGTGGTTGATCAATTGAACAACACACGATTTTCTTTATATTAGTGGTCGTTTCCTTTTTCATTGTAATGTTAGAACTATAAGTAAAGTTAAAAGGCCTTTTAATAAAATATATTAACCGTACTGACATTATTTATAACATATTTTCCCAGTTGAGTAAGCTATACTTTTGAGGTACCATTTTGCGATATAGCCCCTAATAAGTGCACGTACTTTTACACGACTGTCAACAGTTGTTCTTTTACTATTCATTTCAGATAGCTTGTAATTGGCTTTTAATATTAGAGTTCAGGACATGATTTCTCATTATATTGTGTTATACGTTTTGTTTTAAAAATTATGAGTACAATCGACAGATTAATTCTCGATGTCAAGTGAATGAAATGTACCATTTGTGTTACATTAAATAGGTATAGTCTTTTATAGCCGACTTAACGGTGTGGGGTTTCCTCTTTGTTGCAGGTCGTGTACTCCTGTATCCCTGTACTGTTCATGACACTGTTGTAGAATAATATACTTCAAATCGCAGCGACCAATATTTGAGTGGAAGAGGTCACTAGATTTGTTTCAGCAGATTTTAAAGTAAATAAGCTTTCTATCGGGTACTAGATACTGGAGGTTAAACAATCAATCAATCGGATACTGTGATCAATCTTCGAAATGGTATAATCAATCATTGTATTACTTATTGTTTTAATCTTTAGTAATACATGTACAGTGTGTAACAACATAATAGATCATAGAAATAATTGCATTTTTCTTAATTAGTTTGTATTATTCGTTTTTCTGTTCAGTCATTTCATAGTCTAGCGGTCAATATTAAAAAAAGAAATGGTGAGTACTGTAAACCTTTTTTAACCCTATTGCATATTATTTACCTTACAAAGTTTTCAAAGTCTTATATGTCGTCAGTGGTTTTCTTTGTTTATATCCTAATAATTTTGTACTCTTAGGAGTTGTGTGTTTAACAATTTTAATCATGGCATCTATGGTGAATTTATTAGTGATAAACATTTCACAGTGTATCATAATTTATATCTTTTTACCACGTGTAGACTCAGGGTGGGCTAGCAGAGCTTGACATATTCTATATCATTTATTATTTTACTGCTAGTTTGTTTGCAGTTTACATTTACATACTGGCCGGATTTAATCATTTTAGACATCAATGACTTTGTCAAACCGCCTTAGAATTCATGAAATATGGACAGAAGCTTCTTCAAGATCAAGACAAATAGCATCTGAAGGAAACACAATTTTTTTTCCACGTATTTCATCGATGACTCAGTCAAGTTGACGACAGCTATAATACCAGGCGTGACACAGAGCGAAACCCTTAACAATTGTTTTCCAAAAAAAAACTGTAATTTCAAAGCAACATATTTTGTTATTTTGGATGGAAACTATTCTGGAACGTTAAATACCAATTTGAAAACGGAAAATTATCTTTGACCTGCATTTGATAGAAGGTTGTAATAGTGCAATTAAAGGTTACAAAAAATGTTTTAAGTATCACTTAGAACCAAAGTGTTCATGTTATCATCTCACACTATACATTGCTTTACAATTTTTAGTAATTTTTTTTAAAATAATAGATAATTGCCACACATATAATGTTGTTAAACTAATGGAAACAATCCACTTTATCAATATTTTGTCCAATCCGGAATTTCGAAAAGACAGTCGACTAAGCTAACTTCCTGTTTGGGTCAAGTGTCGGAAAAACAAAGATCGTCAAAAATAAGCTGAGGGAGGGAAAAGTTTATAAAGTGAAAATTTAAAATTTTAATAGGTTATGATCCTTTTTTAAAAAAAACTTGTGTTGTCAAATTGAACATTTTTACCTAACTTGTTACTCGGATAATCTTTCGACTGATTAACCGGTTAACCGGTATGAAAGTTAATGTTCAAAGAAAATGTATCTTAAGGGTATCTGGGCTAAAGAAATACGGTCAAATTTGGTCTTCTTCCAACCTGCAGATAAAACACTTGCAAAAGTTAGGCGTCCTTTTGGCTGTGTTGGTTGTATAAATTCGCAGCAATGTCAAGTATGAATAGCGACATTAATTCCGTTGCCTTGTGTAGATAAAGAGTCGCACTCTACGTACGTAAATAACCCTTGCAGCAACTCTTTGAGGTGTCCGTAGTTGGCCTGTTGCAAAGCTTACTTTCTGTCCCTATCAAATATATCCTCATTTTTCAGTAGCATTCCAAATGTTCAACCCTGCATGCCGGTCAATCCCTATTGCAAGATTTGCATTTTTAATTAATTATTAATTTTTTTCTCATACTGAACATGCATGAAATATTCTCAACTGGACGTTTCGCAAACAACAATCAATCAATTAACAAAGCAAACAAATGTTTGCAGGAATTGATCAGAGTGTATGGTTATATAATATGATGTATTACTTATGATTTATCGTCACACTTTTTCCTTAAACGTTCTGAACGACCAGTATTCACTAAGCTTGCATTTGACAATTTTTTATTCAGCATTTCGTTTGAAATATGATCAAGCTTTGGTTGTGGATGATTTGCATTTTTACATTTACGTTCACTCAATATTAAGTTAAAATGAAATGAACAACTAAATCGTAGAATTTGATCGGCTTACAACTGTTCATTGTATGTTTTTACACACCTTTACAAATTATGTTTACTTAAGATTTTGTCCTAAGCTGTTACTAGACAAACTGTTTTGATGGTACATGTAATCAATTTACGTAAACTTGGATGTATTCATTTTAAGTTCAGTCAAAATTGACAGGATACTTGATCTCATTAAGCATGTGAAGTACAACGATGATCGTGTTAAAATATTAGTAAAGATATCAATACACATTTATATCAAAAATATTAAAACTGAAAAGGGTCCGATTAATCGGTTTATGAATTTGGTATCCGATATTCGGTTCTCCCGACGGTTAACCGGTTAATCGTTGACAACACTAAATAAACAAATTTACGTAAAAAAAGTATTTTCTTTGAAGTGTTTACGATGGTTTTAACGTTTTCTATGAAAAGTTTTGTGCACAATGCATTTTTAAACAGGCCTAGGGCCTCAAATAGCATCAACTGGTGTGTGACGTCATGAAAAAATTGTCTAATTTCAGAACTTATCTGGATTTGAATAAATAGTGTATTGCTATACATGCTATAATGGGCATACCTTCTGTGGAGAAGAGGCAGTAAGACTGAATTGGAAACGAACTCAGAATATAGTGAAATGCATAAAATCATGAAATATAAAGCGTAAGTCAAGATTAACAATAATATGACATCATGATTAGTCAAAATATTCATATATTTTTCGAAATAAAGAAACACGTTGATTTTATGTAGAATTCATGGTAGCCTTGTCAAGAGTCATATGAAACGAGTTTCTTGTAATTATAATGTGAACCAATGCATGCATATATACTAAATTAAGTCCTTATGCACGTTTTGTACATTTATTACGAATCTACAACGTGTTATCGACAAATAATATTTCATTCAGTGATTGTTATCCCAAGCTTATTAACTTTCAAGTATGTTGCCGAGGCTTAACGGATCGTGAGACTGATAAACAATCAACACAGCGCACGAGGAGTACTTAAAATGTATGTGAATTGTTAGAGCCATGATATTTTATTTTCATAATTTGCATACATTAGCATGTGTCAACTTTGCCTGAGGAAGTTGGAACCTTAATTTCTTAAAAAAATATCTTAATTTATAAACGGACAATTTTTATTTATATGTTATAGTGCTTTTCAGTACCAAACTGATTAACTGAAACAAATATTGAATGAAGTCAGTTAAGTCATCTCGAGTTGTTATTATAATCTTTGTATCATTACATTTTTGTTCTGAAAAAAAAAACAGTATAAAAAGTGCATATTTGTCTTTGTTATGGGAGTAGCTTATACTTTAATAATTGCAGTTTTATCATTTTTTTTATTAACTTTTTATTATATATACTAAAGAACATAAAACAGACATCAATGATTTTGATTCGTTAACAATGCAGCCTTGTGTTTGGCAAATGCATTATCTAGACCATATTAAGCATGAATTACTAAAGTCTAAAAAAAATTGCATGGTGTTCTCAAAGTGTTCTTTTCTGTTTATAGAAACATAATTTTTTGACGGATAAACACACATATAAAATTAACTCCGTTGTGTTATGTAAATATGACAATCCCAAGCCTAAAGAACGCAACATTAAGATCGTATATTGTTATGTATTACACAAAGGAGAATCACTGTGCATAATATTCATAAATAGAAGTATTTCCAATTGCTTTTTTTTTACATAGAATCGAGAAGATGTGGTATGAGTGCCAATGAGACAACTCTCCATCCAAGTCACAATTTGTAAAAGTAAATGTTTGCTTAGATAGGTCCTTAACAAGCTTTTGTAGTAAACATACTTTAGAGGGACATATTTAAAAAAGAAAACGATTTCTAGTCCTTGCAAGCATAGTAAGATGGTATTTGAACTAGTCTTGTATTTGTAAATCTGTGTTGTTACAGTTGTTGCTAAAAATAAATGTTGTTATCTGAATATTTAAAATATCGCACTATAAAATGTTCTTTGCGGTTTCAAAAATCTAAACGTAGTATATTTATTTCTATTTTTGATACCGGATACATAATTTACATGATACACGGATTTCTTGTTCATATTGAAAGTTTTTTTTCAATATCAATATAAATGTCAATTCAAATCTTAATAGTTTAATACTTTTACTAAGACTTCTACAATCTTCTGCGTTACATTGGTTAGTATTACAGCATGCAGCACAAACATCTTTATCTCCAATAGCTCGTCTCCTCTGACCGTGTATATATCTTAAATAGGTGGTCGCACATCTGTAATATAGTTAAACGTTTCACTATATACATTTTTGAGTTCTTATCAAGTGTACTGTTACAACAGTAAGTTTGTTGAATTATTTCCATTGCCTTTCATTTTAATCACTATATTTTATCGACTGATTAATTGCAAAACAAAATATCTTAAATAATAACACATCTTAGCAAAGAATGGTTTCTTGTTAAATAAAGAACAAAGAATGAATAACTGTTTTTATCAAGAAAACAGAACTAGAATTTGAACGATGTTCTACATCGTAATCGCTCAGCAGAGACATGAACAGTTAACTCGATGGTACGAAAAACATTAAACCTGCACAAAATGATATATAGATATAGTTACTGTTAGTAATACTGTTATTAATAATATCTAATAGTTATAATACATATAAATAAGAAGATGTGGTATGAGTGCCAATGAGACAAATCTCCTCCAAGTAACAATGTATAAAAAGTAAAAAAATATAGATCAAAGTACGGCCTTCATACACAGTTGATACGCGTTTTCATAAAAATGTACAAAGAGAACTTTTCGAAGAAGTATAATCACACAGAAGAAACAAAAGCTCCATTTTGGTGTGACAAAATCCCCCAACTCGACATACCCGTTCCGAATTTAAATAAATAAAAAAAAAAAAACTGTCGGATTTCACTTCAATTAAAGGGTATGAGCGGATGACATCTTTTTTGGGAGTATTTTCGTCCAGTGCAGTAATTTATCAAGCGTTTAGTTGTATGTATTTGACATCTTATTTTAACATATTCAAAGAAATTTACATGCGCATTTCCGGTTGATGAAAAAAAGAAGGTCAAAGCCTGTTTTCTCAATTTTAAAGTTCGATTGCTATCTTATGATATTTAAGAACTATTGAATTATTAAAAATAATGTATTTAATAAAAAGAACATTTTAATTCATTTAACAAACAATAGAAATAAGAAAATGTGGTATGAGTGCCAATGAGACAACTCTCAATTCAAGTCACAATGTGTAAAAAGTAAACGATTATAGGTCAAAGTACGGCCTTCAACACGGATCCTTGGCTCACATAAGCATGTTATATGTTATGTTCATTTTTGTCTGCTTACTATTGATTCCTAAATGTATGAGTGCTCGGTAATTTTCGATTGTGATGATGAAATTTAATTGGGCACACATAACGAAGTCATGTGATCTCTATTTTGCAATTAAGTTCTGTAGGTTTTCTCTTCTTGGTTTGTCAACAGACATTGTTTAATGGAGTTTTATGAATCATCAGGATGTATTGTCCAGTAAATATATCAATAATGAACTGTATTATTTTGGTAGCTTTTATTACTTTAAAACCACAAGAAGAATGAAATTATTAATTGCAAATGAAGGACTTCATACAATGTCGTGTACAAAAAAAGTGTGCTAATGTGTGTTATTCAAAACCTATTAAGAGACATGCCTTATATTTTTCTCATTATTCTAATTACTAAGAATAACATTAAATCTAGCGACACATTTTCTTCAATGTATTTTTTATATATGATATTCGTATCAACTTACTAATTTTCGCTCACATCCGAGTTGAGCCACGAATGAAAACTCTTTGCACACAAACCTAAAGACATTAACCGCGCAAATAAAATACAAATAACAATATCCTAAATAAAGTTCATTATGAAAAAACGTGAGGAGATGACAAGATGGCAGTTGAATATACATGTAGATTCTACCACTGCATCCAGTGTGATACGATATTTATAAAATATGCTGGCTACCTTATTCCTTCTTTTCAAATGATCTACAAAACGATGTGTTCTTTCTATTCGACGCCACCAGGCATGGTTGTTTTCTATGCGACGTCATCAGGCATGGTTGCATTATTCATGACGTCAAAATAGGAAATTCAGTGGAAAGCATGAACATTTGACGTCATAATCAGATTTTGATCAATTAATAACAGAGATCAAACGAACCACACGTTAGAATATGTCACTAGCTCATGATCAATGAAAAGGTAGAGAAATTAAGATGAAACATATGACACGGTTGTTGATTAAACCATAATTATCTGAAACGAATCAAACGATTCAATTGAAACCACTGCTGTAAATGCATCAGACATTTGTCAAATATATTTATCTCACCATAAAATAGTGTAAAAATGATAACTATGAGTATATTTTTGTAATAAAATAAATGTTTACTCCATACCCAATAATGTTTGATTGTGATTATCTAAAAAAACAATAATGCAGATATTTTCTTTACAACTAATCATTTGCTAAATGCTTATTAAAGATTTGTATTTTTTTTTTCATATCAACTCTACATTTAATTTTTTTCGTTTTTTTTTTTTTTCTATTTTAGAAAATTACATGTAATTAAATTTATTATGTTATTATTCCAAAGCTGAAATTTTGATTAAGGTGCTTTCTACGTAGTTCTTTTAGGAACGTTTGAATATATAGTTGGCAAATGCTAGTATGTTAACGTTAAGAATATGTTTAAGTGTATAAACTCAGATAAAAGCTCCATAGAGCTTGAGTTTAATCATGTTAATTGTTTGATACACTCTGAATCAAAATAAAGATTTCTCATCTTGTTTTATCTTATTATCGCCTTGTTATTTTAAGATATACCATTCTAGTGTGTCCAATATTTCTCTGTGTAACTATTACGTTTTTTATAATGAGCAGAATGATTTACTTTTGTTTCAAATGCAGACATATTTGGTCTAAATTTAGTTTAATCCTGTCAAGTAATGCAGTAAGAAAACATAAACAGTGCCGCAGGTTAACGTATTATAACCAATTTTATTGAACCTGATTAGCATTTCTACAAATAATTTCTTTAAAATGATGCTCGAGGGAAATATTTCCAATATATATCAGTTGATATTAAAATAAAAGTGTTAAAGGTTAAAGTAGTTTAGAACAACATTTGCAAAATAATATTCTCACATTTTAAATCATATTTTCAATGTTTGCAAATTATTTTTTTCGATGAATTCAAGATAGAAATATATCGATGTGAAAATAAAGGCTGCTCGTTGTGTCCCTTTTACACATATTTCCTGTCTTAACAATAATTTATGGTTGTTGATTGCACCCTTGGCATCTTCGCCCTCTCTGTTTGGCAATATTTCTCAAACAATTAACATATGGCAGAAAAAGGTCATAAGCTGGAAGCAAAGTTTACCAAGCGACAGATGCGAAACCCTAAATATTGTATATGAATTATTTAGATTATTAAAGATACTATGTGATTTGTAAATTTCCATTTTGAGTTCGAGGCTTCATATCAGATCAAAAACCAATAAAATATGGAAGGGGCAATAATAGTCAAATGTCTTACAAATATTAAATCACAATGACCTCAATAAACGAACATACAAACAAAAGTCCACAATGCAATACACCAAAAACGGGTATCAAATAAATTGTTTCATGTAAGCAAACAGTATTATGACCTGCCTGACTTAATAGATATAAGAAGATGTGGTATGAGTGTCAATGAGACAACTAACGCTACTATAGAAATAACTACGAGTACTACGATGGGAACAAACGATTAACGTTCAAAAAAGGGGGGTCTCTGTATATTTTTATAATAAAACTGTAGTGCTCTAGTGGTTAAATGTGAATTAAACTTTGTAGAAAAAAGTCAAAGAATACCAAATAGACATTCAAACTTAAGTCGAAAATAAACTGACAACGCAACAGCTAAAAACGAAAAAGACAAACAATAGTACGCAAAACAATAAAGAAAACTAAAGACTAAGCAATAAAAACCCCAACAAAACTGGAGGTGACCGAATGTAGGTAAATCCGGAAAAGCGCTTCGGACGCATAAAATTTGTTACGTGTTGTTTTCACATTTAACAACACTGGGTCGATAACTTTGCTGCTTGACTATCAGTCCCAAATGGTATCACCAGCTCCGTAGTCAGTACGTTGGTACTGGCATGATTTATAACAAACTGTTCTAAAATTGTCCGTTTATAGATTTCGAAATTATTAGGAAACTAAGGTTTCAACTCCCTCGGGCAAAGTTCACCTTAGATGGATCTGACTATTTTTTTAGGTCTTATTTGGTCATAGAGCTCTTCAACCTTTTTGGTTCTTATACTCCTTGGCTTTCAAATATTCGACTTTGAGCGTTCCTGATAGAGGTCAAATCAGAAAAGAGCTTCACAAACATTATACATGTACAAAATAAAGAGACATTTGGCATTGAGATAGCTATCTAGTTTATACTTAAATGAGCAACACGACGCATGCCACATGTGGAGCAGGATCTGCTAACATTTCTGGAGCAGTCGAGATCACCACCGGTCTTTTGTGGAGTTTGTATTGCTCAGTATTTAGTTTTCTATGTTGTGCTTTTTTTTCTGCCATAGCGTTGTCAGTTTGATATTCCTTTGGTATCTTTCGCCTCTCTCAAATAATTGTTTTAACCATAAAACAGGGAAAATTTGAAAAATCAAATACCTACTCTGATTACACAAGAAGCCATTACATAAAGTACCATTTGTTGTACCAGTTGAGCAGCACTGAGCTCATTTGACGCTGTCTTTCTTTGTCCTTTGAAAATTATCTTGTCTTTTTCTCCCAACAGCGCTTGCTAGTAAGTTACAAATCTGTCGCACAAAACAAAAAATAACCAACGAAGTTATACATTTGTGATTCAAAATGAAAAGAAAAGCATTAATTTCATGAAATCTACAGCTAGAGACTAAGAAAAGAGGAAAAATTAACACAGCCTTACCTCATGTGTACTGAACGTAAATGCTCCCTTTACTTTGCGTCAACTTCAAAATTTCAGTTGATATAAAAAGTCACCACGCGTGTACTTCCGCGTTAACGTAAAACCTTAGCGTTTTTTACTTTTGATAAAAGTAAACGCATAATTATTTTGTGTAGAAAATTTGCGTTAACGACATTTGTCATGGCATCCTAGATATATTGATTAATCTTATCAAAACTATTTTACATCAATAGATTAAGCGATTACAGGTATGTGCAT